TAGTATAGATTAATTAAGCGCTCTACCTAGTATCGTTCCTCGATACCCTTAAAAGGACCTAGCCCGTATAAGGCCTATTTAGTAATAGCGGTTAAGAGATAGATCGTTAATATTAGAAGATTAGAGATCCCTAGTAAGTATAACCCGTGATCTACTAACCCTAACTATAACTAGGTTATAGTACGTAATATATTAAAGACCGTCTTAAACTAAGATTTAAGTTATAACCCACGATATATCTCGTGTTAATACCGGTAAGAGAATATCTAAGGCGCTACTAGCACCTCCGGTCGAATATAAGGCTACGCCTCCTAAACCGGACTCGGACGACGAGCGAGACGAGAAAATCGATATACTAAAGGAGTAAGTGACGAAGCTAATAGACTAACTTATAGAGTAGAAGAAGTATAACGCCTAGATTAAGGAATACCTTACCTAGATATATACTTAGGTCACTACTTTAGCACTAGCGAGCGCTATTCTAGGGCTCTAACTTCCTAAGGCTAAGTATTTCGAAGGAAATCGAATTAAGCTTCGAGGATTCCTTATTTAGATAGATATATATATTAACGTGAATAAGAATAAACTCCTATCTAAAGTAAGTAAAGTGATTTTTATATCTACCTATTTATAAGGATAAGTATAGAGTTAGTTCGAACCCTATATCTAGGACTACTATAAGAAAGCCCTATAGGAGTGGTTAACTACTATAATAAATATCTTTAGTAGCTATACTAGTTTTAGAAAATAGCTAGAATAGATATTTAGAGATATTAATATAGTAAGAATAGCTAAATAGAAACTATAGAAGATCCGATAATATATCTTAGCTTTAATATATATATCTAAATTCTAGTAAATTATCTTATATCTTAACCTACTAGATAGAGTATATATCCTATACTTTAAGATAGGATTAAAACTAGATATAAAGGATAAACTAGCCTATATCGATAGGCTAGAGACCCTTAATTAACTTTTTTCTATTATAGTTAAGATTAATAACCGTATTAATAAACGTTAATATAAATAATAAGAAATAGAATAATAGAAACGCGGTAAGTTATATAGACTTAGCCGGTTTAACTAAAGATATTATAAACGACTATAATAATAAAACCTTAACCTATATAGGCTAAGGCCTATAGAACTCGACGCTATCTAAGAAGAATAGGATAAGCGCCGGAAGAAG